GATGATGATGATGATGATGATCAACGCAGTTTTCCCCCAAATGTATATCATCTCAATATTTTAAGCTACAATTATTTAGTAGCCTGAATATATATCACAAAGTTGTTTAAACATGTAACAAAACATATAAATACATACTGTCGCACTTACAAATCCATTGTCACTTATTAATTGACCAAAGCAAAGTAGCAAAATATGACTTCATTATTCAGCAGCTAGCCTGGTTTGCATGGCAACATCTGACGCGGTCAATCGCACTTTCTGCACACGCAAAAACGCCACCAAACACGACCTTAAAAAGTTAGAATCATTCCAACACGAACAGTATCACAAAAATAAAAGTAATCATTAATATAAGTATGCATGAATGACCTATTCTGCTACAAACATCCACCTATATCACAATTCGTTTCAGCAACTGAAAAATCCACGCATATTCATACATTCCATTGTAATAGAGCGTACAACAAGAGATGACAACTGAATTACTTGTACTATCACAACACAGTAATGAGCCCAAATTGCTAATTTTATCCCGGTATTACTACCATCTAAGGATCATGCAAAAGTCGCTACATCAGGTAAACCCATAAATTACCCCATCCCCCCAAAAAATGCTATAACCTTTTCCTGATATATACGGTCTGTGTTAATTTTTCATGCTGTGTTAGAGAACAACTGTCTTACTGTGCTTCGTGGAGACTTGTATCTGCCAACCAGACTATCGCCATTTTTGTTCCGGTAGTACTGCTATTTAAGGATCATGCAAAATTTACTACATCAGATAAACACGTAAAATAACCCAAAGAACAAGAAAAGAAATCTAGTAAAATGCTTTAACTTTATCCTGATTTATACGATTTGTGTTTATCTTTCATGCCATGTTATAGAACAACTGTCTTACTGTGCTTCCGGAAAATGTATATATGCCAACCAAACTATTAGGCACAATCTTGCATAGCGACACAACAAAAAAGTCGCCTCTACTTACGCACGAGATCGAAAAATTGCTCACGAAGTTTCTGAAAGATAAATATCTGCCAAACTTCGGCACAAAACCTAACCTGAGTGCTCCTAAAGCAAGGATTAAAAATTGTTTTAAACTTATTTGTCAGAATTTTTGTTATCAATAACAGTTAAATCCAACTCTAACTTCCCTAAGACTTTCAGCTAACAATCTTAGCTGTGTTAGTTTTATATATAAAGAGTTTCGTATGGATTGCTTCTTGAACTTCTGCTACAATTTAGCTGAATAGTTTGAGTGATTATCGCAAGATGTCAGACCAGCATCTTGCTACTAGATTTCACTCAATAGCTCGGGAAATAAGGTTTACAACGTCCCTTCGTTTGTTATTTTTTAACCAACAAACTCTTCTAACTGTACAATAATCAAGCTTTTATCACATAATGTACAGTACAAACATTTTATCATGAAACACCACTTGGTAGCTCAGAAAGTACGGAATGCCATTTCTCTTTAGCCATTGATTTTTCAATCAACTGATTATCCCAAGTGCTGGTCAAGCAGCTAATTTCAGCCATAATGATTACGAGATCGTCGTCGGTGTCTCACCAATCATAACAACAAACTGTTTGTTCTTTCACTGGTATTTTCTCACCTGAGTATGATTTTTCTCGGACAGTCACATATATATTATCAGATGGAATGAGATTATATGATACAGTACTCTTTTCATTAACATCATCTTGCTAATCAACCTCTGATTCCTGGAGTAACCAGTTTTCACCATATTCATTAGCTTGTCGATATCTTTAATACTACAACTCATAATTCACTTCATTGGGCTGTCGACAGACTATACCCAAACAAAAGGCTTGATCTTTTGTACCACTAATGTTTTGCTATAACATCACTTTTCACCCACGATTTCTTTACTCATTCCTTGTCATGCGAATTCGTATGCATCAGCTTTTGCAGCATGCAACCATTCCACACATTCTTGTGAATATTATAGTACTTCTGTACTGGGTGGAGGGCCATATATCAGATCAACTGGTAACTGTATTTCTTGTCCAAATATCAGAAAATTAGATTTAGAAAATAATCAGCCGACTGTTGCCCAGTTGCGTGGTACATCATCATGATATATTGTAAGTACACATTCTAAACAGGCAGATTTAATAAACTTATAAAACATAAAATTGATAGTCTGGACTTCAATTTCAACTG